GAAAAAATGGAACCAATTGCTGCGATATATCGCATGCCGTTTTGACACAAAATATGGCGTCCATCGAATCACCTTAACGCAGATATTGTCCCTAAAAAACACAGCATATAACCTCACTCACCGTGGGAGTGTCATTCCCTCGTTTCTTCACCTTGGTTTCATCCGTGTTTAAGTCAAGTAACTAGTTCAAACGGACTCCAATTTGCACTTAGGGACTACAATAGTTTCTTGCTCAGTCGAGAAACAACGTGTGTACCATTGTTTCCCCTATGCAAATAGGTGTTTTTACCGATGAGCCAGAAATTGTAGTTCCTAATTTCGAAATAAAGTTCAAGTGTGTGTATCACGAATTCAGCACCACAGTGCCAAAAGGTGCGTACTCACGTTCTTTGAAAAATCGAGTCAGTGGCATTTTGAAAATTTCCTATGACGGTTCCCTGTACGTGGGAAAGGTTGCCCTATCTCACGTCGGGTATGAGCTACGGAGTTTCCTAGGGGTGCGAGCATTCTCCTATGCGAGTTTTTGCAAATTAGTTTGAAATCGCCAAACCAATTGCTCAAATTTTGATCATCAGTCATCGGTAGGCAAATCAAAGAGTTGATTTCCAATAGTATCTCTCACACGATGGAGCGGAGTCTGATAGTGGACTATCTCGTAATATCACGGATCCTCCGGAATATCAGGATGTTCTCGTATATATCTAGGATGATCCAGGTCTTGGATTCATAATGGATGCAAATTTTGTAGCAAATTCAACATACTTTCTAAATTGGACTATGTTCTCTCTAAGAGGTTTCGGTATATTTTCTGATTTTTAATCGGCAGCAATGCAACCATCTCCGATCTTCCGAGCCATCGCGGCGGCTGCCTAGCGAATGGAGTGCGGAAGGTCACGAAGTTGTACCAAGACGCCCGCTACTCCCCGAGCGACTAATTACAAAATCCTTGCATCGCTTGCCGCTTTTCACCCCTAAATAACACAATTCTGAAAAGACACGGTAAAAAAAATGAGCTTTCCGTGTGATTTTGCTAAAAATGGACAATTTAGCCTAGCCCCCCTAAATTTTAGCGTACCCCAAAATCATTTGACGTGCATAAGAAGACCATAGATATGGTGTTTGTGAGAATTTTGAATGAAATCGAACAGATAGATTCTGAGATATCGCTGTAGACAGATTTGAAGGACGTCGGACGGACGGACACATTTTTTCAAGTGTGATTATTTTGACTCCTGGGACCTTAAAACGTCTAGAAATGATGAAATTTCAACTCCTTTTTTTTCGTGGAGGATGACAATACTTCCTCTCTACCCTAGGGGAGCGAGAAAGTAAAAATACCGATTTGATGAGCGTTAGGAGGAATGTGGTACTGGATTGTCGGATGGGGGCAGTTGACCGGAAAAGCCTCGATATTAGAAACAAAGAGGAAAATTTAACTCGCATGCAATACACATTTTCCTACATATGTTTTACCGGTGAATCAAAAAATGGCCTTGGTTTTTCGCTATTGTGCAAAATTTCCTGGGAAATTGCATTTTCTCTAAATAAGCTCGATTTTTTTCGGGAACAACCCAACCGATCCTAACAAACGGAGGTCATTATCGGAACTCGCTCAAAAAGTTATATAAAAATTCACTTAGCAACCCTATGTGAGAAATTTTTAGGCCTGTGGACAGTGATCCGAAGCAAGATCCCAGTTGGGGAGAGAAATATCCCTAAGTTTCACTAGAAATCTCGAATCCCCAGATTTGTTTTAAAAAAATCCCCAGAATTGGAGAGACTACATTTTTTTCGTAGAATCATGATTCACTCTGAGCACAGATAAATTCGGCTTGGGATCAAAATTGAGGGTGAATTAAAATTTCCTTCGTTTTGTCCTTAATTGTATCACATTAGAAAAAATCCCAGGATCCCTACAGATGTTGAAAAATTAGTGATCCAGGGATTATAATCCCATACTTCAGATCCCTGATTCCCTGCCTGTAAATAGATGTCCCTCTTGGCTGGACTTCTCTGAATGTTCCTAATCACTTTGCAACATGAGCCGTTTTGTCCTTAATTTTATCACATTAAAAAGAAATCCCTGGATCCCTAGAGCCCTTGAAAAATCAGTAGATCCAGGGATTATGATAATCCCTAGACTTTAGATCTCTAATTCCCTGCCTGTAATTGGATGCCCCTCTTGGTTGGGTTCCTCTCTGAATGTTCATAATCACTTTGCAACATTGCGGTGCTCCATCTCTCATTAAGTTTAAACCGGCTGATGGTGAGGCTGAGAGCGATTGATGCTCCCCGCTCGCTCCATAAGACGCAGACGCAGACGCTCTGGCTCTGGGCTGCCCACTCTTGCCGTCTCCACATGAAAAATACCATTTATTTCGTCGATTTGCGGCGTAAAATTCAATATATACCGACGTACTGCCAGCGTCGCAAGGAGTGAAAGGCGACACCAGTGCAATGCCCAGTGTCTTGAGTGTCGTCCGCGCCGCGACGCCCGCGCACTCTCGCGTTGCCAAGTTCAAACATCTCTGCAATATTTCTTTGCTGCAAAGACGACTTTCGACAAAATGAATTGAATCGGGACGTGCGAGAACCGCTAATGTACATTTTTCAAGTTTTTAGTTCTTTTGAGTTGATAATGCTCTCCGGAGTTGGATGCAACCACAAAAAAGGCGTTAATACTCGTCTTCCGGCTACCATAATCCTAAAACGAGTCCTTTCATCACTTTTATGGCTGTATAAACTCTTTAAAAGTATCACTAACTCAAAAATCCGAAGACTGGCAAAATGGACATGAGAGGTTTTTGCACGTCCTGATTCAATCGTGATGCGTGAAACAAAGCATTGAGGACATACTATTCTAACCAGCTGAAGCCCCCTTTACTGATTTTATCAAATGAGAGAGAATATTGGGCTGTCTAATAAGTCAGCGCAACAAAGGCCACAGTTCAACAAAGTGCCGCTTTTGCCCACTCTATCAAATGAGGGCAAAACAGCCGATCACAATCAATTTGGGTGAACTAGAGACTGTGGCATTATGCATTCAGTGAGATGACAATGAATTCGCAACTTTGTGAGTTGTTAGAAGCTTTCGTTACGGGCCGCATTGAAGCAAGCTTTCTCACCTGCGATCGATTACTCGAAAGTATTTTGGAAGGGGGTGAACTTCTATCAACTTTTCAGAATCTTATCTGAATCTCCGTGTAAGCCACTACTCGTACACGACGTTATTGATTGGCTTACTCGGAGATTCGAAAGCACTCTTGTCACGTCCGAACTTGACACCGTCGGAACTGAATATTTAGGGATGCGGGACGGCTGAATTTCAGTATAGGCAACAATTCGTGCACGATCATACTGATTGGCCTACACGTAGATTAGAAGGCGCTCTGTGCCAGAACTTGGCGTTCCCAAAACTGAATGTATGCGGCGTCGGAACGGCGTAATAAAGGCCCCTGCGAATTTCCACATAGGCAACTATTCGTGCACAATGATATTGATGAGCCTACACGGAACTAAAAAGGCGCTTTGTGGCCCATCTCTGCATTTCCGAACCTGGATATTGAAGGCAGCGAAGCGGGAATTTACGGACTTGATCCGACAACGGAGCGAGGAAACAATCGTGACGGAGTCTCGTCTCGTCCTCGTCTTGTCGGGGTGTTATCTCCTCTCTGTGTCTACAACAACGATGAGTCTTCCTTAGTTTCTCTTTTCACCGTTTCCATCACGTATTGTTCCTATGCGCGGCCACGATGCAGTGCGCGGTGGCGGCGGCGGTGGGCACTCACACTCACACTCAACGAGAGGGGGTGGCGCTTCACCGGTGGCATCGGGAGGGGATCATGGGTGGGGGGGGATAGGGGGGGTCCACCAACGCTGAATCGTCCGACCACTGGGAATCCTCGTTACAATGGGCATCTGCCTAACTTTCAAATTAAAATAATCACGGCTGCCAGGATCATTTGAATGTTGAATTTTAAAATAATTGATGGTTTAATAAAAAAATTTCTAGGGGGCTCCAAGAATTGAGGACTTTTTCAGTAAAAGGGCGTATGAAGCTTGCAATGCTGCTGGGACTGTGCAGTTTTTTTTAGCGTTTGTGGCAGATGAAATTAGCCGACTTAGTTCCTTACAGTAGTGAGGAAAAACCTCGAAGCAGCTTCAGGGGAAAATTCATAGCACAGTGGCGTGGCGTGAATTGCGATATATCGATTATTATGCCATTTAAACTTATGAAAAAAGATCGATTATCAGGGTGTTCGCAGCGAACACCTTAGTAATCGATTCTTTACCGTAGCTTCAAATGGCGAGATATCGATAATCGATTATTCGCGCCACGCCACTGTCATAGCAGTATTGTCGGCTAGTAACTTACAACTAGAGAGCTACGTTGCACGATCGTAGCAGCATTGGAAGTCTCATACGCCCTTTTACCGAAAAATGCCTCAATTCTTCCTGAGAGTGTTAAAACTCTGGAATATAAAATGAGCAGTTTGTTTTTATTTTTTTTTTATTACAAATAAAGATTGTAGCAATGGTTATTCCAGATAACTATTCGATGATAATTAACGCTGCAAATGCGCCTTCGAAAACTGCCAATTTCGGCCAATAATATGCAATAATATTTTGCTTCATCTTGTAAAAATTTGGCAAGTGCAAAATTTTGTTCTCGTTAATCACTTTTCCCTCTACTTTTCATTTTGATAGTAAGTCTAGTGGCTGACATTTCGGTTTCCACAAAATTATACGTATAATAGCATAAATCTGCAATATTTCGATACGGAAACTATCCTCGGAGCTAATGAGGGAAGATCAGCCTTCAGCGAAGGTTAGGGTAAGGCAGAGGCTACTCTCTGAAATTGAACGTGGGTTTTCACCCTTTATTAATAGAGTGTGGTACTGCGAAAACAACATTTTTCATCAACTTGAAAGATAAGACTGTAAACTTTCCGCCTTGTATAGCATCTACTAACTATACTTTTCATTTTTTTTTCCCCTAGGCTTACATGAAACCAAAAGCTAATGCCGTACAGATTGCGAAAATCATCGCGTTCACTGTGATAACATGCAGTTTCATCTTAGGCTCGTTTATGTTAGCTGCCGCTTACGTTCAGGCTAACGCATCTTGTTCCCAGCTCCTCCAGGCTGAGGCGCTTCTCCACCAGCAGGTAAGGACTAATACTCAACTTATTTACATTGCCTAGTATGGTTAAAATGTGGCACTACGTTTACAAACTCCAGTGATCCTTCGCGACAAATGGCACTAGATGGAAAGAAAAGCTTTCAGCAAATGTCCCCTCCTCAAAATTTCACGCAAAAGCGTTTACCTTGTTTAAAAAGTTTAAAATCAACAGACAATCGAGATATTAGTGTTCATAGTGAACATTGTACCCTGTCCATATACATTTGGGAGACAAATAGTTCTAATCGGAGATAACCGCAGCAATTTCTTATATGAATCAGTGAGAGCGAAAACACACCAACTCGAAAAAATAAAAATAATCAAGACTCATAAAAATCTGCGCACAGTAAGTAAAGAAATTACCTAATCTAAGAGAAAGATGTGTGGTGCCGAAAGACAGGTACTTGAGGACACTTTGAGGGTCTAAGTTGAAACAGATGCGCTGACTTCAATGACTTTTATGAAAGTTGGCTGTCTTTATGAAAATTGAGCGATTTCGAGTTACCGAGTTGGTGTGTTTTCGTTCTCACTGATTCATGTATAAAAATCAAAATTTCTCGCCCCCAGAATCTTATAATTCTAGCAGTACCTAATTTATAACCTCGTGGGATTTCAGTACTAAACATGCTTGATCGATGCTCAGTGAAACACATGTGCACTCTATCGGAATGTAAAAGTTTATGAGTTTAAAATCAGGAGCTAAGATAAGCTGCACGCATCGTGCGTTTTCTCCGTGGATCATGTTTTTTGGCACCTAATCAAACAGTTGCATCATTGCTGCGTGTACATGCACGTAATGCCTCCGAAAAAAACTCCTCTTTGAACCAAGCAGTAACGATTTCTATTCGTGGTCACGTACCTATTCGCATCGTTGCAAAATTATCCATTTAAAACTAGAGTGGCTCCTTGTATTTCCATCTGTATCCTTTAAAAACAGGAAATCTGTAATCACAAGCTCAGTGGCAGTTTATAGTATGTTTTATGTTTATAGTATCATGGGACTAAGGGAATTCTAAGGAGACAACATCAATGAACAAGCTTTTTCAACTTTAATATGGTTGACCAAAATTCTGATATTCCCATCGGTTCAATTAAAATTTTAGAAAATAAGTGAGCGCCACACAGTGGATCAAGTCTATTAGAGAGGTCGGACATAACATTTTTGACTAAAACTGTAAATTTTGATGTCTATTCCGTCACAATCAAGGGGTGCTTCCAGAAGAAAGTTTCATGAGGAAACCAAGGTACCAAGGCACTTTTAAAACCTCAAAGTTCTGTATGAACGGAGTTATAAGCGTTTAAAGTTTCCAAATGTTGTCCGACCTCTCCCATGACTCGATTCATTGTGCACCGGGAATATGGAAACAACTATTAAATAAGATATTGGAAGCTTATCAGTAAACAAAAAACAAATATGGTGAAGGAACTAAGGGGCGTCTTGACGACATACTTAACGTCAAAATAGTTTTGGGGCTGTGGGGTCGGTCATTGGTCGAATTAGTCTTGAAAATGAGACGCTATTCCGTCTTATCTTTGTCAAATTACTTTCACCTCTGCATAGGTTTATTGCAGTTTATTGTTTTTGGCTTACTGTAGAGCAGAGGGTAGATGGAGAGTCAAAAAGTTAAATAAAATTACTCAACTGTAACTTCGATTGAGATAGTGGCTCTCTAAAATGGGACCGATGCACAGCGGATCGAGTCAAGCAGAGAGGTCAGACACGAAATTTTGACTTAAACTGCAAATTTTGATGTTTATTTCGTCACATTTCAAATTTTAAGAGTTGATCCTAGAAGAACATTCACGAAGAAACCAATGAAACCGATTTTATAACCTCAAAATTGTGTATAAACGGAGTTATATATAAGCTTTAGAGGTTTCCATATTTTGTTCGATCTCTCCCATTGACTCGATCCACTGTGCGGCATAGCGAGCGGATAAAAATCGCATTTGCTGAGTCTATTCGCGGACTCCGTTAAGTCCAAATGCACGACGACGACGGCCGGACCAAAGCTGCGTCGCCATTTTGTGCAGAGCCGTCACACGTCGCGTAGAAAAATAATAGACTGACTATAATAGAAAATAATTTTTCGAATCAGTCAAAAAACGCTAGGGTTTTTTAAGGTTTGCCTAGAGAATGAGAAATTGAAAACATTGCCATGAACTCGACACGATAAAGCAGAAGGTCTCAACCGCTCTTAGAAGAGCTATTGTTATTAAAATTATATTGTTATTTTATATTTTACATTATATATTATATTGTTATATTGTTATTAAAAAAATATAAATGTATACTCCGTCAGTTGTGCCTATATCAGAGTTTTGTTTCGGCGGTTGAACTTTCAGAGGAAAATACAATAATAATATCAGCTTAACTGCAAAGTTTAAAGTGTGGAATATAAAAGGAGATACTAATACTACCCTCAGAAAAATGAGACATTCTGCTTCAATTAATTTTGATCTGAAAAATTCGTTACTGCTCATTTTCAAAGTTCAAACACAATTTTTGCCTCTATAACAAGCGAGACAGTCCATTGAACTCCAATTGCCGTTCAAAATCTGTATTAAAATGAAAATCGGCAACCCAGCACTAAATACCATCTTTGAGGCTTAATGGACTCTGAGTCCGTCTTGGCTGGCTGTGACCGTCTTTCAGTTCGAGTCAAATAAAAAGGCCGATAAATTGGATCCAAAGTTGCATTTTTGTCACTAAAAATAACAAACGTCCTGCAGTTTGGTGAGATGAAACCGAATTTTGTAAGTAACATTGCAACAGCCATCAAACAGTGTTGTCAAAAGGAACTGAAAACAGTTTATAATGCATTTGTTTTAATGCTAAGATTAATAGCAACGCGAAAAATTGAAACGATGGATTTGTTCCCGATTCGTAATCAGGCGACCATCATCGCGGGAGATTAAGTCACCTTTGATTTGGACGTGTCTTGGCCTTAATGAGATGTGACTCTCTGCAGAGTAAATAATCATTATTTGATGTGTCCATAACTGCATCAATGCCGGTCACGCTCAGAATTTGGAGCTCATTATTTGAAAATATCGCAGCATTTCCAATTTAAGAACCGAGAGATAATTTGCTTCCGAGATCCAGTTGTCTGTTCTGCATTACCAGCACTACCAGCAGTCTCCAATTCCAGGCGAACTTTCAAAAAATGTAATATTCGGACAAAACATAAACACTTGTAAACACACTGGAGAACCCAGGAATTAACTTGATCAAATTTTAATGTACCTACAGCATTGTCAAACATAGTTTTCTCTGCACCGAATCTCATAAAAATTGGTATGCAACCATAGGTCAATACGTTGGATTAATTATTGACGATAAAAAATCGAAATCTCAGTTAAAAGTTCGGGATCTCGGGGGTTGCGCAAAATACCACCTTTATACGCCAAAAACCAAGTTAATGGACTTTTGAAGTTCAAGATATACACCGGAACTCCCTTTTAAACTGAAATTTCGAGTTTTCTAGTGTTTTTTTATATACCTAACGTATCAACTATGGGTACATAGCAATGTTCATGAAATTCGATGCGTTATACATAATGCTGGAATAACAAATTCACCTCCCAGACTTTCACGGGGGAATGAGGGTATGCATCAACCCTAAAAAGCTCTTTTGAAAAAATTGTACGAAAGAAAAAAGTTTTATTTTTACCCAAAGATGACGCTACTGCATTCTAGCGGTTTAACCTGGGATCAACCCGTAAAAAAGCTCCGAAACATATTCCGATTAAAGTTCAAGTACCAATAAGAAAGGAAAAATGGTTCATTTTGCTCACCACATTCTCATGCCTGGCCCTGACAACGTATTCCATTAACACCTGTAAAATGTGCATGGCGTTAACTATCAATCGTTTTTAAGATAGGAAAGATATTTGTTCTTCATTTTGTAAGCAGACACATAACTTTCAAATGCGTCAGTGTCTTTCTCTATGTCGACATTTCTCGTGTTCAACGAGTCATTAATCGATTCATGATTTGTCCGTGAGATCATCGTGATGAACTGACACATTTAAATCCTTACACAGAATTTCGACTTGAGCTTCTGTTTTAATGTTGTGGTTGGAACCATCGCTATTAGATTTGTCGAAAATGATAAGCATGGCGTGGGCCCTGAATTATTCTGTTGTAAATGCGGAAACATGTCAGTGACGTCACGGATAAAACTAACTGATTTTGAGTTGTGTCATGCCTGATACATGCCGATTTCGCTCGTTGCCAATTGCATCTCCCAAACGGTTAGCATTACCTAATAACTATCAAATGGGCTTTCCCGAAAGCAGTGACTGGTTTGCCTGTACTGCAGATCTCCCCCCCCCTCCCACCTTTAACTAGTATGTATGGATAGACGTTGATGAGGGGGAGGGGGCGGGGGCAAGTGAACAAATCCGCCTATAAAACGGATATTATGCAAATTCACGTTCAAGCTAGCTTGACAGGTACGGCGATAAAATGTGGATATTTTACATAGGGTTAAATGGGGGAAAGTGCTGATTTTTCAGCACTATCTGGCAAATATGCGTCCGGGCGCAGCGAGCCACGGCGATTAAGGCAATACACCAAAAACATATGAGACATTGCTGTCAGATCTGGGTTGGAAATGAACTGTTTTAGGTACTACAGTAAAAAGTTCTATAGTTGAATTAGAAGGAAGTTCCATTGAACGGTTCTTTAAAATAATTCCTGTTTGTTGCAAAAAGAGTTCCAAATATTTGTCACTTGGTAGCGATCGCTAGCGCTTTACCATTCAACGCAACTTAACGCAAAAATAGAAAAGTAAGGCAAGTTGGACAACACCAGTTTACAACAATTTTTCAGTATCATCTTTATTACAAAATGTTTTCCGAATCGTCTTACTTTTCTATCTTTGCGTTAAAGTCTCCAAGTAAACGAATCCAAGCGTGCGCGTTCTGGCGTCATCGCATGGGGATCCTTATCTCGCATCAATTAAATAGAATTTGATCCAA